ATTCAGACCAGAACACTTTTTCACTGGAGGAAGTTATTATGGATTATGGACTCAATGTATTTGAGTTAAAAACGTCTTAATGCTGGATGTGTTTCAGCTTTTGTCTTCTCCAGATGTTAACTGATGGACTGGAGTGCTGTGGATTACTTGTGGATTATTGTGATGTTTTTATCAGCTGTTTGGACTCTCATTCTGACGGCATTTTTAGCAGATTTCATTCTTCTTTAAATGCAGTTTCTCATCTGAGATTTTCTATCATGACATCCAAACGTGTTTGGCGTTCTCCTGTGGAACACAGAAGGTTAAGCTGGTTAGTGCTGGTATAGTTACTACAAAGGTAGTCTTGTTGTAAGATAATAAGTTACATAATTTGAGCACAAATGCAGCAAAACATGAAGTTTATGAATAATATATGAAGTAAAACTGGAGTGACACTTCAAGTTAATAAATGCCTGAAATGCAATATTATCCCCGTAATGAAGCTGATCAATGATTTATCGATCACAGCTGGATCGATTTCTCTCCTTCTGGCTGCAGAATCAGCGCCTCATTCATCAAGGAAATAAAACCGTGGTAATGGCCGCTTGTGTCTGTGGGCATATTCAGAGTGCATTGATCTGGAAGAAGGTCAAAGGTCAAAGTTCCCCGGGTCACGGTCAATACAGACTGATGGTGATTGAGCGCATTTGAATGTGACCGTCACGCTGGAGGTCACGGGTCAGCCAGAGGATGGGTCGACCGTCTGAAGGCCTTTATAAAGCCTCATGTGTCATTATTATATGACAGGCGTGACGAAGCTGAGATCAACACACCAGACTGAGTTATTATGATACGCATCTGATGTGGAAAATAAATAAACCACAGCAGATGAAAACATTCTTTCACTCATTCATATCATGGTAGTGATCTAAATCTGATCTAATTATCTGAAAGAAAATATTTTGAGAAATGTCTCAGTATTGCTTTTGTCCATCTCTTTTTGTCTATTGTCTGTAATGAGAATGAACATATGAATGCGAAAGTTTGCAGAATCTGTGAAAATGTGAATAATTTTAACAAAGTAAGAGAGATCATACAAAATGCATGTAATTTTTTTATTTAGTACTGTCCTGAGTAAGACTGAGTAAGACACTGGTTCTTAATACAGTGTGTGGTTACCTGATGATCCACGACTGTTTTTCTGTTTTGTGATAGTTGTTCATGAGTCCCTTGTTTGTCCTGAACAGTTAAACTGCCTGCTGTTCTTCAGAAAAATCCTCCAGCTCCTGCAGATTCTTCAGTTTTCCAGCATCTTCTGCATATTTGAACCCTTTCCAGCAGTGACTGTATGATTTTGAGATCCATTTAACACTGAAGACAACTGAGGGACTCAAACACAAATATTACAGAAGGCTCAAACATTGACTGATGCTCCAGAAGGAGACACGATGCATTAAGAACCCTTTTGAACAGGATGAAGATGACTTGTGATTATTTGTTAAAGTTACTGTATAATTAAGGTTTACGTACTTTTAAGTTGTAAAGAATATCTGCAGTGACATTTTTGCAAAGTATAAATTGATTTGGAGAGGAGGGGGACCTTGGAGTAAAAAAGGCGGAGAATCACTGGCTTAGACAAATGTTTCACATGCTGAGAATACTAACCTAACATATAAGTGTATAAACCATAAATGTTTAAGAGTCACGTAGGCTACCTCCGAGCGATTCATGATCAGGTAGATCCTAAACCACGCGCTCACATCAGAAAACTACTAATTGGCCAAAAGGCTTCATTTGACTTTTCGGAGATCATCTACTCTTCCCTGTGGATTGCCTCTGACCTACTTTCTCTACGATCTGAATTCCTGAGTATTGAATTTTAGATTGAATTTGATGTTCCGAATTTCCTGCTGTATTTGTAAAAACTGGATATTTGCAGTCTAAGATTTCAGAACCAATCTTTTTTTCCTGTTTGAAAAAACATCTCTATAAAACTCTGCCATAAAAATATTCAGTTTTGTTAAATTTGAAATGTTTAATGTTCAAGTTCAAAAAAATCAACTTCAGAACTGTTAAATGCCACATAATATTCAGTTTTGTTAAATTACACGTGTCAATAATTCAAATTTACACAATACAAATTCAATTAGTTTTGTCATATTATAAGCTCCATACAATAAGTGTTTTAAAAATGTGGGGCGACAAAAGAAAATCAAAAAGTACAAGACTATTTTCCTTGAATGTCATGAAATTGCATGTTGAATAAAATGAACTATAACAGCTTGAAATTTTATGTCATTAACAAGTTTTAACACAAATTATTAACAAGCTGTAACCTAAAAATAAAAACGAATTCCATGATTTCAATGCATGACAAGAAAAACAGCAGAAGACAGAAGAACACAAAACGCTGGAAAGAGCCAGAGCTCCATAACGTGAATAATGAATGATTTATTGACTGTGATCATTTGAATTGAAAGGTAGTTTTGATAGTAATAAAATAATGACGCGACAGTACATTAAAAACTAAATCAACACAAACAGAGGTTAAGAAACAGAAACACACGGTCCCTCACACACACACACACACACACACACACACACACACACACACAAGACACACACACACACGCACGCACGCACAGATCTTACTGTCTATATGAGGATTTATTACACACATTTATTCTGACATGTTATTTCACTGATAGAAGTTCAGCTGCAGTATTAATGTCATGAAGAGAAAAGAAGAGACTCTATAACATCTCACTGTTACTGATTCATCATGCAGCTCAAAGCATTATGGGTAGAATCTCTCGTCAGTCTATTCTGATTCATCAACACAGTTTCACTGATGATCCAGAACCAAATACTAAACAACCCAAACCCAGGATAGAGCGGCTGAATGAATGTGGTCTGGACTGTGTGGATGAGGCTCATTGTGTCAGAGACGCTGTAGAAGGACAGAGTTCCTGCTCTGTATTTACCTCTGTCTGAGATCTTCTTGAGCGGCTCTTTGCAGAAATCCTCCAGTTTGTCTCTCAGCTGATGAACAGATTCTCTCAGCTGCTGATAGACTTCACAGAGAGATCAGTCTTTATGTTATTGTGTCTGAATGAGTATCTGTAGGGAGAGCAGCGCAGACTCCAGGACTGATCATTAGATCCAAACACACACTCATTACCTCCCTTCCTGCTGGTGCTCTTATATGACACTGATATACACACATAATCTCCACTCCAGCTCCCAGTAACAGTGTCCACACACACTCTCTCTACACAACACCTGAAGATAATAATCAAATCTGTCTGGATGATCAGGATACGACTGAACTGTGTTAGTGTTAGTAATCACTCTCTCTACAGAAAACAGAAATCAAACTCATCAGCTCCACACTTCATATATAAATATAATATAAATAGAAATATATTGGGGAAAATATTTGCTAGTCCCCATAATACCTGATCTCACCAGTAGCCTAGATTAGATTGAAATAAGTACATTATTTTACAGGATATGCACTTTTTAAATATTTCTAGAGAATGCTATTACTAATAATACTAATATTATTAAATTGTGGAAAAAGCAAAAACAATGTTACAATACACAATATAATTGGTAAATAGTAAAAGCATGAAATAATTTGACTGATTAAGAAGTGAATTCTGAGTATTTCTATGCTGGTGAACTGATAGAAACACAGTTTCAGTCATTTTGCACAAAAGTATTTACAGGTAATTGTACTCTTACTGTCACTGACACTAATTACATAAATACATCAGGATTATTGCTGGATTCTTACTACAAAACAACATAAATGCTGCAAATGACAATTTTTAAGAAAAGCTAATTCTGTCATTTTAGGTCACAAAAATAAATTAAAAAAAATCGCTGAAATCCTGATGAGACTGATTGCTAATATACAGCCTCACTTCACGTTTGGGGACTTTATGATCAAATTAATCAATATAATACAGACAAATAAAGATACATTTTATCGAGTCTGAGGATCACCTGATCCAATCGTGATGAACGTTACTCAGAATTGGTACTATAGAGTTCAATGGTTTCATGACGTAATAAATCAGAAGGAGAAATGAGGTAAAAAGCTGCAATGTTAGTGAAGTTTTGAGCTTTTGGTGGCGCTAGTGGTGTTTGACAGCTAAATATATCTTCAGAAGAAAGAGCTGCTTGTCTACCTGCACCTTGCACTTTTTTGCACTATGGAGTTTATATAATAGAATATTTTGCTATACTTTTTTAGTCTTTTTTTTGTTTTTTAGTCAACTTTTTTGTTTGTTTAGAAGAAAGAGCTCAGAAATGTGTTTTCTAAGAGATTTCCAGAGCTGAAAGCCATTTGTAAGTGGTGTCTCTCTCAGAAGAAGATGATCAGATGAGAGTCTGACTGATGATTATATAATAAGACACTCATGAACTGTTTCTCTGTGAGTCTCTGTCACAGCAGGATCTGCTCAAGTCCACTCTGATCCTGTTCTTCTAGATCTCTGTTACCTGCAGGAACTGGATGTGATCCTGTGTGTGTGAAAGCTGCTCCAGCTCAGCGTCTCTCCTCCTCAGATCATTGATCTCCTGCTCCAGTCGCTCCAGTCGTCCTTCAGCTCGACTCACTGCAGTCTTTTCCTGATCTCTGATCAGCCGTATCAGCTCAGAGCGGCTTCTCTCAATGGAGCGGATGAGCTCAGTAAAGATCCTCTCACTGTGCTCCCCTGCTGTCTGTGCAGAGCGCTGTTAGGACACACAGTGATTCAGGCTTCAGTGAGTCTGAACTGAGACTGAGACAAACTTCTCTTCTTCTCCAGACTCACCTTATGAGACTCCACAGCCTCTCTCAGCTGCTGAAGATCTTTCTCTCTCTGCTGGATTCTCTGCTGGAGCGTCTTCTGCATCTCCTTCAGCTGCTTCTGCAGGACAAACAGATGATGATCTCACAGAAAACTACTATCATTAAATCATCATGTGAAGAGATGAATCCAGGAAAAGTGGAGCTGATAACTCACGGCTGTAGGTTCAAACTCCAGAAAGGATGACTGATCATTTATCACTATCATACATGAATTCACATGAAGCATAAGAACGGTTTCACACCACATATGTAAATATTATAAAAGTGAAACTGACACAGACTGCTGTGTAATTAAGCTGCGGCTCTAAACAGAAAATAGATGAACTAAGTGAAGCTATAAATGACTGAAATCATCTGGATTCTGACAGATTTACTGAACAGAAAGTCCTCCGTCACTGCATTTAACTTTTATTTTGACCATAGACTGTATAAAAACATGGACGTAGTGTCCGTGACGTCACCTGTAGTTTTCTGAAGAGCGTTTTTGAAGCCTAAAGTAGGCGGAGCTGGCCGTCGCCATCTTGGTAGTGCGTCACCGCGCGTCACTCCTGGATAATCAAAAATGGGCAAGGAGGCGGGAGCAGGTTGCTGAAACCACGCCCACCTAGTTCAATGGTGGTGACAGCAGCGACAATCCACCTGTCTTTCAAGTGGCCACGCCCTTAATTATGCAGAACTTTAAGGCTTAATATAATTTAAACGGATAAGTCAAAAAAAAATTCACCCCCCTCACAGTTGTCATGAAGGGCAAAATTGTGTTGGTTTCACGAGAGAGACCGGAAGGTTGCCGCTTAATTTTGACTGATATAAGTATATATTTTGTCAAAGAATGGGTGAATAGTTCACTCCATTATTTTATGGTGTTTGATCAAAATCTATTTTATGCAAGATTTAGCTGATAAAGGTTTACGGTGCATTTTCAGCAAACAATGAAACTCTTCTTGCAGCTGCTGTTCATTTCTGCTGTCGTGTGACGTGTGAATGCTGTGAGCTGTTCATATGGTGCTGATATAAACACATATGCGAAATTCTGGCTTCTGCCATTTTACTGCAGAAATACAGAGACACAAACACTCAACAGCTCAACTAATGCTTCAGTTTCTCTTTCCCTGAACTGATGAGTTTAAATACTTTACTGGTTCTGGGTTTGAGTGACGTGTGTAAAACAGGTTTGTCTGCGAGTCTATAAAGCAGGTTCCTCATTCCTGCTCCTGTAAAGCTTCATTCCTGCTGAGTTTAGTTTCGACACACCTGGCTGTTATTAAAGTAAACACAAAGACCTTGACTAGTTGATTCAGGTGTGTTTAATTAGAGATCAAACTAAACTCTGTGGGAAAGTGACACTTCTGGACTTTGAATGGGGAATCTCCTTTCTTGTAAATGACTTTTAATAAATTAATATATTTATTTGCATTCATGTCTAAATGTTTATTAGCATTCATGTCTAATTTTTTTTCAACCCTGGCCCACACGAACAAGTGCAACAATCTCCCCACTGTGGCGTCAACATCAGCTCTAAGAACGTAACACCACAGCCATCAGCTTCCTGTAGAAAGGTGAGGCAGCCCACTCCTCAGGGTGCCGCCAAGTCTTCTAAGAATGTTGTCAATGTTCCTGTGGCTCAGTGGTAGAGCATTGTGTTATCAACGCACAAGGCAGTGGGTTTGATTCCCAGGGAACACACATACTGGTAAAAAATGTATAGCCTGAATGCACTGTAAGTCGCTTTGGATAAAAGTGTCTGCTGAATGCATAAATTATTATTATTATTAATTATTATTATTAATTATAAGAAGACTGCAAAGTATCCCCGAGATTCCCAGGGATGGAGGAAACTGCTCTTCCCCAGGGGCTGGTGACTTCGCCACTCCCTTCACCAGAGGAGGGCCAGAGGCTGACATCTTGTACATCTTTAGTTCCCAAAACATCAACAAGAGAGCGGTTTGTTCAATCTCAGGGTCAGATGCAATGGCGTATGATAATGAGCGGTGCTACGTTTCCTCACTCTTGACCTCGGCACCACAGGCCAAGAAATTGTGGTTGCAGGACATGCTGTTTCCTCACGCACCTTCTGCCAACCCTCTGAGGGATCCTGAGAGCCAGGTAAGAGTTGCACGACACTCACTGCCTCTACTTCAGGACGCTACACTTCCTGAGTTGGGGCCGGCACAAGCTCCTATTCAAGATATTGATGCAGAAACACAATTTTTTTTACAGAAACTCCTATATGTTTGCCCCCAAAATTGGTTTGCAGTGATCATCCTGAAGGACACATACTTTCACGTCTTGATTTTACCTCGACACAGACTGTTCCTTCGGTTTGCTTTTTTCGGTTTAAACCCTACTGGCCCACCTGGACCAGGTTTTCAGACCCGATGCTCCTCACGACAGCGCCTCCTTGGCGGATTCCCCTGAGGAAAGACCTCCTTTCTCAAGGACGGCACCATATGTCACCTGCGTCCAGATCTTTGGAACCTCCAGGTGTGGCTCCTGAACGGGACTCTGAGAACTTAAGTGGCCTGTCACAGGCAGTGATGGACACTATCACTCAGGCAAGGGTCCCCTCTACTAGGCAGGCATATGCGCTGAAGTGGAGTCTGTTAGTTGAGTGGTGTTCTTCTTGTCGAAAGGCCCCCAAAGATGCCCGATCAGTGTTGTGCTTTCTTGTCTGCAAAAGAGGTTGAAGTGGAGGCTGTCTCCCTCCACCATGAAAGTGTATGTTGCTGCCATCAGGATGCAGTGGACAGCAGGTCCCTGGAGAAGCACAATCTGATCATCAGGTTATTGACAGGCGCTAGGAGGTTAAACCCTCCAAGACTGCGCCTCGTCCCCTCATCCTTGCTGGGCTACAGAAAACCTTTGAGCCGCTCGAGTCAGTTGAGCTTAAGATTATGTCTTTTAAGACAGCACTCCTGACCGCACTCTTGTCCATTAAGAGGGTGGGGGACCTGCAAGCATCTTTGGTCAATGAAAGATGACTAGAATGTGGGCCAGCCGATTGTTGCGTGATCCTGAGACCCCGGCCTGGATATGTGCCCAAAGTTCCCACCACTCCCTTCCAGGACCAGGCATTGAACTCGCAAGCACTGCCATTGCTGTGTCCTGTCTGCACCTTGTGGATTTACGTGGACCGCACACAGAGCTTCAGAAGCTCAGACCAGCTCTTTGTCTGCTTTGGAGGTAGGGAAAGGGAAAGGCTG